CATCCTCATAGTCATCCTCAACCACCTGTTCATCGTCAGATTCGCTATTCAACTGATCCGAATCGACCATACTCTCGTCCGAGGCTTCATCATCTTCCTCCTCGTCCGAGGTGTCCCCATCATCTGTAGGTGGTAACGGATAACGTGTAACTACGAGACCCGCTTCATATAAGGAGATAGCAGCATCCATCTGTACGGGGTTGGGAGAAGAAACACAACACATAGGAACAGTCACAGAACTCGGTGACAATGTGCAAGTGACACAAAGGGAAATCGTTGAAAATTGGTGGGACTAACTAAAGCTGAACTTTAAAAAGTGAGCACAACTATGCTTGAATGAATCACGATTGTGCAATCGCCGTAAACATTGCCACATTAACTGAATGAGAATCTTCCATGAGAGGAAAAGTAATCCCTCCGGTTGGTACAAAATTCTCCCATCTGGATGAACAAAGCTATTAATGATTTGACTCGACTTTTTCCAACCAGCTCTTATCTTGCCTTCAGTCTTTTGGTCCTCCACGTTTGGGGTTCCATTCGAGTTTGTAGGTAAGGTGATGAGAGAGTAACTGATCCAAGTAGATAAGCCCGCGCTTCGATGGCTTGCGATAAGGTTATTTGAACCAGCCGATCGAGCGAAAACCCGAATCGATCTCCTGCTTAGTGGTTAAACTCCCTATTAGTACTCGTCCAATGAACTCACATGAATACAAAACAAAAAGAATCGCATGTTTAATCGGTGATCGCGTGGAATGAACAGGACCGCGCTAGCGACAGCACCGAACGGAGTGGGAAATGAAAAGTGAGCCACAGTTCAGGCATCCCCACCTGCTGCAAATTGGATACACGAATCCATGGTCCTAAGCGTTACCGAGTGCACTGCACTTGGCAATGACTTTTATTTGTGGATTCCACCCCAAATTTCAGCTGAGACACTGGATCTGGAGTAAGATCTGGTGGAGTAAGAGCGATAAATCTCGATCGACCAGGGTTTAAAACGAAGTTATCAAATCATAAAAAGAAAGACCGTTGAAACTCATGTGTCAAAATGGTTAGTGAAATCGAAGTCGCTTCTGTTAGAGGTGAATAATCAAGTGCTGTCCCAGATTANATCAGCAATAAACAGGAACAGGTTTAGAACAGTTGTAGATGGAGACCGTGAATTGCAACTCACCTTTTCTTCCAAAGAAGACAACGGTAAGTCTTCAATAGCCACGAAATTCGGGAACGTTTTGGCCAGACAATCCAATGCAGGAAGGTGCTAAATTAATAGTAAAGGATGAAAGCAAGAGAAAAAAGTGGTGAAGTACAGATGGGTGAAGGTGGTATATCTAACCAACATTTGGGGGTGAGGGGTGGGGGAGAGAGAAGGAATAGCAAACCAAAAGAACAAATACACTTGTGCATTAAACAATGACAGAACGACAAAGACCGGTGAGGGGAGGAATGCGATATCGCTTACGTAGAAGGCACATGTTGCTAACCCTTTCTAGCCAAGAAAGCGTCCTTTTGTCTCAAATTCTTCTCAGCTATACGTGGGTGCTTATTGTGCAAAGAATTTGACCGACAGTTACTCGGCAGTGAGGAACAAGGCTATTGTCATCCGATAATGTAACAAACTAAATCAAAGTTGAGTTTGACACGAAGCAAAGGATCTCGAAATCACATTTACCAGACTGAATTGTCAATTTGCTCAAAAGAACACAGTATACCTCGCAGTTATTCACACTGCGCTAATGGTATTTCAGACTCTTAATGGCCGAGTTTCTGTGCCGTATAGCAGAACTGGCCGAACTGCTGCAGTATACACTCGACTCTTCACAGACAGCCGGATGTCGCGACGGCGCCACAGATGTCTCAAGTTGGCAAATGCCAACTAGCCATCTGGACGCGCGCCGACACTTCGACCGTGATGCGTCCACCAGGTGAGATGCTGATGCCCAAAAAACAAAACTTATCCACTTGCTCTATTACTTCCGCAGTCAGGGTGAGTTTGGGGGCTGGACCAAACCAATCTCGTGGTAACATTTTACACTTTGAAGGTGTAAAACGCACACTGAATATGGCTACACCGGCAATAAAGCTCTCCAGAAAAGCTTGCAACTTGCCTGCATCTTCACTTAGCAGCACGATGACGTCTACATACTCTAGATCAGACAGACTGCCACCTGGGAGTAAATCGATGCCACTAACCTCGCACGAGGTTAGGGCTGTTTCGATAATCAGATCTATAACAAAGTTGAATAGAAAAGGAGAGAGAGGGGGGAGGGAAACCCTGACGAACACCATTTTCCTCTCCAATGGAGACAGCCCGTCTGGGTAGGAGGTCTTATACTTACTTCCCTGGAAACCTCTTTTCAGTAGGAGGATTAGTATCAATGAGAAGTATTTACCCAGTCGAGGTGGAGGGTGATAGTTCAGATGTCGAAGGGGGTCAGTTGAACTGAGCCTCGAAATGTTCGGCCCAACGGTCAAGACGGCGTTCCTGATGGTGAATCAGTGTGCCATCGGACTCCTTAATTACCTCACTTAAGCCTATTTTCCCAAGGCTCGTATTCCTAAATAGACGTAAAGGATTATGACTATTACCAATAACTGCAGCTTCCTTCATCTCTTCACACTTTTGTATCCACCACTTCTTGCGGTCATTCCTCAGACTCTTGATGAACGGGCGTTTGAGGGATTTACGCACTTTTTGTGTTTTGAGCCTGCGCCAGGGTCTGATGTTGTTTTTATCGATATTTGCATAGCTTTATTGATTTGCTTCCAGTGTTCATTAAGTCCTTCGGCTGGCGATTGAGCTGATAGGCGTTTGGAGAATTCCGCTTCGAATGCCGATTTGCAGCAATCGCTGACGCTGTATCGTGGATATCCGTTATTGGTGGCTTTTTTTGCGATTGTTTATCAGGCGTAAGGAGAGTTTGGCTCGTAGCAAAGCGTGATCCGCAGGAGAGCGGGACTCGGATGATATTTTACCAACCTTTTTTAAACTGAACCTGTATCGTGCTGTGTTGTCTGGCATTACACATCTCAAATGAACGACTGAACTCGACTAGAACGCTTGTTCGTTCTGAGCAACTGTACGCTACGTTCAGCTAAAATGCAAACCAATGAAAACAAAATTTAAATAAACTCAAAACTTTTTTCGAAAGTTTCATGATTTAAGTATGGTGTTATACATTCAGTTTTTTGAAGGCGCTTCTACCTGAAATCAAACAATGTCGAACGTAAGAAGCAGTTTTCAAAGGGACAATATCTCGAAGCACTATGTGGCAAACATCCTCCAAAGGTTGATATCAGTAGCATTTTATTATTGCTTCATTCGAGCACTTACAACATATCACCCCTCAACATTCGCTAAGCGGTTCTTAAACCACTGTTGACCTGCTGAAACCCTCGCATAAACTTAATGTAGAAACACTGGCAGGTTTCCTAGACAAAAGCAGGTGCCAGACAAACAGGCCCTAGATTCAAGAAAGCCTTGGTATGGTCGGGGTTGGTGTCTAGGGTTGCGGTTGGTCACTCTGCCCTAGCACCTCACGAAATGCTTCCATACGACCAAGCCTCCCGAATAACCTCTGCTGAGGAAGCCCTACTCACTGCCTTCTCGCGGCGGTGTTTTCCCACCAAAGTGATGAAACGAAAAGCCGACAGCCGGGTTGGCGGACCACTGGCAGTTCACCTAAGGCAGTTGACCATAAACCCTGATTCTAAACCAACCATGAGGAGACGTACGAACTACACCCACACCTTTTCCGTATAGCGTCTGTTACATCATTGATCAATAGGTCAGTGTTATATTCACTGTCGTTGAGTCTTCATTTCCAGATCTCTACAGTCATGTGCGAATGATTAACTACTATCTACCAGCGTGATTCATTCAGGTGAGTAGTTGAATCGCGCTGTGGAAAGATTAATGCGCTAATTCCGATCCGTGTGTCGTATCAATGGTTTCAATCCTCGTGTTGGAAAATCGGAAAAAGAAATCCACTTTAAGGTAAAATGATCACAAAAACAGTAATACCTTAATATCCAAGGCCAATTCTTCCAGCTCCCGTTCTTTGTACACATCTGTGTTGTCCAACGAATGATACATGGCTACCACGAGATTGGTCTTGTCGTCTTTCGCCTTTCCCCGTTTGGTACTACTCGCCTCGGACACATCTGCATCACTATCGTCCTCATTGTCTACGCTCGATTCAGATGAGATTCGGGTGCGTAGTGCGCGGACCGCGGACCAGCGAACAAGGCGGATTTCTGTGTCCGGTTCCAACTCGACGACGTCAATCACACCACTGGGAGTCGGAGCATCGGAGCCCTCGGGCAGGTGGCGGCGTGTCCAACGCTCTCCTTGCTTTAGCACATGGCAACACTGTTCGTCTTCATGTTTTTTATTACACACGAAGTGATTTACAGTAAAAGAGGTAAACCCCATGGTGTGAGATAGTGTATGCATGGATTGAGATGGGAGGAAAACAGTACGGTTAATTGCNAGGTTGTTATAATCATCACATCCATCATATATATAAAACATCAAGTACTATGTCAACGGCCAGATGAAATTCCCCTGAAAGCATCGTACTGGTTTCGCGGTTGCTGCTACTCTTCAGCTATGCGTATCCGAGAACCTTATTCAAAACCGAGGATATACCAATGTCTAGTGCTCTTGGTTTACTTCAGCTAACCTCACTTTAATTTTGACTGGTCATCGCGTAAACTTCATTCCCACGCACAAACCTCATTTCACCCCATTGGCCGTACAGCCGGGAAGCAACAGAATTGAGATTCACTTGGAAGTAAGGCTCATTAGTAATGGTCATGCATAGTTGGAGCTTCCGACCCCGTCACACGGAATGCGCAAGCGTTACCACTGTAGCATCCAAATAATCGGACTGCTTAGAATAATCGATGCCGTCTCAAAAGACAGTCAGACAGTTAACCTGGCTCAGCAGCAACAAAGTGGGATACACTGCACTCTGTATTAACCCTAACTGCCGCCCCCCTCCCCATATTGCATTCAGAACTGCTTTGATGATTGGACTAATTCGTTGGTGTATCCATGAGATTTCATGGTAACTGCTGGTAGATAGACACTGGCTACTGACGAATACGTAAGTAGTAAACCTTGAGTAAAAAGTTTAAGAGAAAGAAAAACACTTAACAGTAATAAGCATATCCGATGAACGATAGTCTACCTTCGCGAAGCTGTGGAGGCAAGCTTTGACTAATCAGATCTACCGCCATGTGATCAGCAGCGACTAATAGGGGATCGGGTGATTCCGTTTCTAGATCGTCTGCATTCTCAAGTACACGCTTCTCAGAGCGACTTCCGTGTTCAATACGATCAGCGAGTTGGCGAAGCCGTTGCACAACACCACGACGTAGTTCATCTTCACACTTGGAAGCCTCTTTGTTCTGAAAGTGCAGCAGCAGAATGAAAGGAAGCTCATCAAAATATATGGCTGGACATCACTATTCCAAAAAAAACATGACCAATAAACCGAAAAATGCGACTTTTTTTTAAAGTCAATACATTAAAAGCCACACTACATTAGGGAATCCCGGTTGTAGTGTTTACCACCCAAACATCGGATGGACATTAAAAATTAAAGTGCAATATGATGGAAATTTTTGTGATAACCAACAAAGAGCACTGGACAACTGTTTCGTCCTGTTTGGGACTCGTCAGCAGTGCTTACTATATGTGTCCCTGCCAGGACTCGAACCGCGATCAGTCGGGTCGGGACTTCAAACCTTTACCCCTGAGCTACACGGCCGATGGTTGTCACCGTGTGCGAATGGCCCAATCAATTTAGAGTATCAAGCTTGGATTAGCCCATTCCATTGTTCAGAGGCACCAGGTACTCTTGATGGTGTTCGGTGTGGGTTTCACTCCTTGGGAGATCATTAATTCCCCACTGTTTGGATGCATTTAAATGAGATGCCTGGTGCCTCTGAACAAGCGTAAAGTGCAATATCTATTATATTCTCATTGCCAAGCGACATCTTTGCAAAAACAACAGCGTAAAGGATTACTTCATCGATCGAAGATACCGCCAACATGTGTACACAATACACCTAAGTTGAAGTAGCTAACTGTGTCCCAAACCAAAACAATTATTAACGCAATTGATGTTAGTGTGTTCTCCGAGCTGGAAGTGTTGTTCGCAGACGTTTCGTAGCCAGGCTAGGCAATATTATCACTGCAACTTCCCTGAAGTTTCATCTGGATGACATTGAACAGCTTAGGGGACTTTCCCACAGCGCCAGCACGTTCCATCTCTTACGCGCTTGCTGAGTTCACCAGATCTCGCGGTCTCTGCGTAGGCTCGCGTTGAGTTCACGTCTCGTTACGAATCGTGTTTCATTATGCTCGCTGCCGGTCTGGATTCGCCAACGTGCGTCAAGAAGGAGTAGAAACTCCACAGAAATCCATGGTATCACGGTATGACGTCAGACCACAACTAACGTAAAGCGTGAGTATCTTTCTTCACTCGGATAAGCATAGGAAAACAAAAGATTGCCATATTCACAGGTGTATACATTCGGTTGGATATCAATTTGCAAAAGTAGTAACGAGCGGTTATTCATGTATGCACATCCACAAGGAAATTGACGACCAAATAGATTAAAAAAATGAGTGCTCGTCATGGGGTAGTTACAACTAAGGGAACAAATCAGTACTCACCTTTTTCATGGAAGGTGTATCCGGTACAGCTGTAAAACCACCCACGTGACGTAAAAATCCCACAGGCAGACCACGACGAAATTCCACATCGGTTTCCATGGCCGATCGAAGGGCTATTGGTAAAAGCTATAGGAGTCAGACAGATCGAGAGTTAGGTCTACATAAACCGTAAACGTAACTCACAACAGAATTTTAGAAAACTCGGCTAAAATTATTATCCCGTTTAGTTTTTACAACCATTAACTATGCACTTTCGTGCGCCGGTTTTGGTTGCTGTCTTTTGGTGCCCCATTAAGATAAAAGAGCAGAAAGATGATTGGAATGTTGAAAGAAAATTTAGGCGGAAAATGGAGGATTCATATAGAAGTGTTAGGGGAATAATGAGTGGATGCACGAGTGCCACTGTTTGCGACACCCAGCCATATCACTCAGTATCTCCAACCATCGGTGACCATCACCCCGAGGTCCCCAGCCAGGGAGCCTAACGGGGCCTATGTGACCTAGTCTCCTGGTTAGGGTTTCCATATTATTATTAACCTCATCGGCTTCTGGTTGTTTTTTTAATCTTCTTAACTGATATGTGCCTTGGGAGCTTCAAACAAATTACCCCAATAAACTCAGCACAGTAATTGCGTTTCAGATGTTTTCGCCACATGGAGCGACATCACGTTTATACAAATTACATAACCGACTTCATGAATGAATGAATAATGAGGTGTGTAAAGAGCGAGAAAATTGTTGATTAAAGTAAAAGATTCGGCTATCGGAAAGTTTGAAATACCGAGATCTCAAACAGATCCGAGGATGGACAAAGCCTGAAGCTCGCTAAACAAAAAAAGTTGCTCCCATAAAATGCAGCTACAAAAGCATCTAGGGAACTCTGAAGATACTACCTTGTGCTGGCATACAGTTCGTCTAAAGTGGGAGATCGAAAAGTAGATATTAGAACTGATGAGCTAGGACAGTTAACTCAGTTAAATGAGACGGAAAACATGGAATTCACCCAAACGCGTACATTTCCAAGTAGGAGTGTGAAAAGTGGATTCAGGCATAGTCTAGCAAGAATAGAACCCCATATAAACGACTAGGACTCAACTAACTGCACATCAGGGCCAAAGAACACACCGCACTACCGCTTGCTGGATTAGGCTTTGGCTAGCCAAGAGTTTCTTTCGTATAACTGCACCGCCTAATCCGTTCGATCTTCATTCATGGATCACTGGTATCGACTAAACATTGCTGACGTACAGTGGCAACATTACGCCAGTAATGGCACTTACTGGCGGGTGGAAAAAGTAACTGGTCAATTTCAGACCTGGTATGAGGATATGGAAACCCCTCGTTAGGCTTCCTGGATGGGAATCCCGGGATCATCGTAACCGGTGGTTAGAGACACTGATTTACATGGGTGAGTGTCGTAAACAATGGTGCTCATGCATCCACTTATTGCCCCTTTAACCTTAGTCCATGTGAATTCTCCATCACATCTGCTGGCAACATTTCACTCTTCCTTCTGTTCTTTTATCTAGACTCCATGACTCCATGAGACCGCAACTAAAGCCAGCGCACGAAAGTGCATCGTTGCAAAATTGAATTGAACTGAACTGAACACGTGTTGAACAACTTTCGGACCACATTCTCAGCACCAATAGAGTGGTCCTCCAACGATTAAACACTCTTTCGAGTGTCAGTACGATTGGGAATTGCAACAATCACCCGGTGCAAGACCGTTTTGGTGAAAGAAAGAAGACCTGACTGACCTTCGTCAGAAAATCGCCCCACGTGTGCTTTTGATAAGTACTGATGGTCAAATGTAGGGAATGAGTATCATCTGGAGTAGTGCCCTGATGAATGAATCCACGTGGAAGATAGAGCAGATCACCGGGTTTCAGAGTGACTGTCATTACTGGTTTCCCGAGTTCTTCTTGTGTAAAGTTTGCTGCAAACAAGAAGCAGGCGGGGGGCATGAATTGGCGGAAAAGCAACCGTGAAGTTGAGCACCGAGGAGTTATATGTAAGCAAACCTGACTGAATTGCTGGCAAATGTATATTCTGTACCAAACAAATACGAAACGTATAAAAGGGCAGAGGGAAACAATGTGGACACAGTTAGCTCCGAGTATGAACTTCACAACTATCCTGACATAAGAAATGAATATAAACAATCCGTTTTAAGATCGCGCAACTTTACGGGCGAAGTAGTAACATCACTTTGTGGCCTTTCAACTCCAATGGAATTTCAAATAGGCGCCAAAGTGGTTTCGACCCAGTGCTTAACTTTCTGGGATATACAACTTGTGTACCAGATTGAAGGTGAAATGAATTTCCCTGAGAAGAGAGGACTTATAAGAATTGGTACTAAGAAAGCATGCAGAAATCTACAGGCATGTCTATTTTGTAACAAGGACACACCTGGCAGACTATGGACAGGGAGAGACGAACGAGAGTAACAAACTGAGAAACAAAAGTCGATCTGTCGGTTTGTTTGTTTTTTGAAAGGTTTATTCGGCCCATAGGTGAATCATGAAATGATTTCTTTGTTGAGGATTGTTCCACCGCGATTAGTTAAGCCTGGATTCAGACATGTACGAAATATAATAACAAAAGTAATATGCGAAACGCGACAAACGATGTAAAAAAAAAACAAAGCTGATACGTTGCCTTTTAATGGCCTAGAATTAGTTATGGTGGATTGCTTTTCCTACTTAGCTAGTTGCGTGACCAATGACGGTAGCGCAGCAAAAGATAACCACCCGCATTTCCAAGGCTCCAGCAGTATACGCAGGACTGAAATACCTCTGGCGTAGATGCGACGTTTCACTGAAGTTGAAAGGTTGCGTATATTTTGCTAGCGTTTGCTCAGTCCTGCTTTATGGTTTTGAGACCTTGACTTTGCGAGTAGAAGACATCCGTCGACTAAAAGTTTTCGATTATCGGTGTTTACGTAGTTTAGCTCACGTGGGATGGAGCGAACGGGTTAGTAATCTGAAGGTAGGCCGAGGTGTGTTTGGGGGTCTACCAGGCATAAACCTGCCAGCACACCGAATTCAGATTCGTAGACTTCGCTGGCTATGGCACGTATTGCGCATGCCCAGCTACTGTCTACCACATCGCGCCTTATTCCCTGTAGCTAATCCGGCCTGGGGGGAGGAGACCATGTGGAGGTCAACAGATGACGTGGAGACGAGGCATGAAGAAATGCAAAGACCCATTAGGTAGAGTGGCCGTCTAACGCCTTCCATGTTGAGACCCGAAAGATTCCGTAACTGGTTGGTTAGAGAAGTTGAAGTATATGGCAGCGAACCGACAGCAGTGGCGTTCTTGTTGTCATTTCTTATCAGATCAGAACGCTTGAAATGGTATGTATGCAGAGTTCGATTGCGTGCTGTGCGTTGACCATAGAGGTTTACTTTCTTCCCCCTCCCTCAAAGTAAGTCCAATCCCTGTCCACCTCAATCGGGTCCCAAAGCTTCGGTATGGTCGAGAGTGGGTGTCTAGGGTTGCGGCTGGTCACTCTTCCCTTGCATCTCGCGAAATGCTCCCATACGACCAAGCCTCCCGAATAGCCTCTGCTGAGGAAGCCCTACTCACTACCTTCTCGTGGCGGGGTTTGCCTACCAAAGTGAGAGGAAGAAGAGCTAACATTCGGGGCTTTAACTGGGTTGGTGGATCACTGATAGTTCAGCTAGGTGAGTTGACCAAAAACCCTGATTCCAAAACAAACAAAAGGAGACGTACGAAGCACAATATCCTGGTTGTGGCAGTGGTCGCCGGCTCGATTGGGCATCGAGGTGTATTGGGCACTTTGGACGTTTGCCCCCGACCAAAGGGCGTATGATCCGATGAACTAGACACCGGCTCCCAATGGACTGCGGTTTTTGCACACCGCCTGGCTGCTTTGCGGGTCAGGCTTTGGCTAGTCAAAGGCTCCGGTTGTGGATTCCTCAAGAAAATTCACCTACCTTGGCCTGGGATACCTGGCAGTATTCAGCCCATATGCAGATTATGGAACGTTTCTTCATTTTTATAAAGATTATTTATTGTACCATGATTTGTTTGGCACACAGTCTGGGTTCAGACGTGTGTGAAAATATAAATACACCACTTTTAATCTTGTACGCATTGCGAGTTTGGCAGCGATCAGCGAAGTTTGCCTCACTGTATTTTGCTGTACGATGATGATGATGATGATGATGATGATGACCACTTCAAAAAAATAAAACGAAAATCAAGTCCCCAGAACCAGTTAACATGAACGAAAACATAATTCAATAAAACGCCAATGTATGATTCAATGGAAGCAGTAAGAGAAACAGTGGTTTATTGTGCGTGAATGAACTGCAAAACTTACGACTCGATTCCCTTGGGAGTTTTTCTGATGGAGTTCTGCAGCGTGAAAAGAAAAACAAAAATATTAGATAGACAGGTATTGTTCGTTTGGCGGCACATGGGAATCGTGCACAAATAGGGAGCAATTAGCTGACAAGCGCGGACGAACAGCCTTAGATTGTTTGTAATGTGAGACAACTGGTTTGTTCGTATTCCGTGAAACATGGACTTTTTTAAATAATTTGGGTACAACACAATAGCAGTCGGCAACTCACCGAGGGGCATAAACTCGCCAATTCTTCGATCCTTCCAGCTGCATTATGAAAGCTTCAATATCGTCATAGTGTGGTGCGAAACCTTGAGTGCCTGGTGGAGTCAGATAGACATTTGCCCCGACAAAGCATCCAAAGTATTCTTGTAGCAAAGCCAGTCGGTAGCGTATCTGCGGGAAGAAAACTTGTGGGCACAGCAAACGGATAGAGCATCCCATCTGCTATGCAGGGGATATCAAGGGAGCAGACAACACACAAGATGAGTGAGCATGGGGGACGAAAGTGACGGTTATGCAAGAACCAATTATGAAAGAAAATAGACTTTTACCGTTTTGTACGTATTTGTTAACTCTATGGTGTACCAACCCACGATATTAATCCCCAGTCTTAGGAAGCAGATTAGTGGCCACAAAAGGAACTTCAACGGTCGAATAAGGTCATTAAAACCTCAGGCTTCTTCCTTGATGGGTAAGTAGGTATCCGTTGATAAAGTGACGGAGAAGTGACAAAACATCAAGCTCCCTCTTGCGATTGATAAAAATGACTGAAGTACAATAAACTAAACCTCAAGGATCGCTCAAACAACTATGAGTCATGATAGCCATGAGGTATAATTGTAACTCACGTTATAGTGATCCCATACAACGGAACGGTATGCACGTCCTGGTGGATTCAAAGTATACCTTTGACCATCCTTGTAACTAGCCAGATCCAGATGCTCGCCAAACATGACACGTTTCTATTTGACAGAAAAGAATGACAATGAAAAGACCGTTATGGTTCCCCCCCCCCAAAAAAAAAGGATGGGAGCACAATGAACTTAACAATACTCAGTGGTACACACTGGCGAACATCCCAATGGATAAACAAGTCGATCTTTTCTGTGCACTCCAATTTTAGTCTTGGTCCAGTTTATTTTCAGATACATCACAGTTGTGACTTTTGTTAAATAACTATTCGAGTATCGCCGGTTAGTTCAAGTCTACAGTGCCAACGGAGCAACATGTTACCGGGCGTATCTACGTCGCAAAGAGGAAGACAATCACTTGGGCAATTTATCGCGGTAACCGTGGTTACCATAAACAAACAGAGGTAGATGGTCGGCTGCAATGCTCCAGGGTATGACAAGTTTTCACCTAGTACGCAGTCGGACCACAAGAAAAAGTCACAAATTCCCATCGGGACAGGTGTGAATCTGTCCCGCTACTAAATGACATCGCTATTGGGTCGTCCCCGCACAGTGAAATACAGTGAAGCGAACTTCACTGATCGCTGCGAAACTCACAAAGCATACAAGGTTAGTGGTAACATGTAAGGTTGGCGGGGACTGAACCTAATGTGAGAGGTGGTTAAAACAGAGTACGCAAGCGAAATCTGCATACAAACCGCTTCAAGCACTCTGACCTGATAAGAAATGACAATAATAACGCCCCTACCGTTGGTCCGCTGTCATAACATTTGGGTATCTTCAATCAGCCAGATTCCGTCTTTTGGACCCCAACCAGGAAGGCGAGAGACGCTTACTCTACCTATTTATTCATACCTTCTCCTCACATCACCTCAACGTGGTTCTCTCCAGCCCGGAGCGGATACAGCAAATAAGGCACGATGAGGCAGACGATAGCTGGATATGCACAATGTGTCCTAACCAGCGAAGCCTACTATTCTGAAACTCCTTGACAAACTCCCGAAGACACGACGAGTTACCTTTAGATTAGTAACCCGTTCGCCTGAGCCCATGTGGGCTAAACAACGCAAACACCGATAATCGAAAACTTTTAGTCAATAGATATTCTACTTGCAAATTCAAGGTTGCACAAATATAAAGCAGAACAGAAAAACGGTAGCATAGTATACGCAACCTTTCAACTTCAGTGAAACGTTGCATCTACGCCAGAGGTATTTCAGTCCTGCGTATACTGCTGGAGCCTTGGAAATTCGGGCGGTTATCTCTTTGGTTCGCTACCGTCATTGGTCACGCAACTAAGTAGGAAAAGCATTCCATTAAAACTAATTTCTAGCCGCCTAGTTTCAAAGTGGGAATCGGTAACACTCAGTCTTGCATCATGCTTTGCACCTTGAAGGTGCAAAGCACACCCAATGAGGTAACAGAACTTGACAGTCTGTCAAGAGCGATTTGCGCGTCCTTTATACATCCGAACAGATAGACGATATCATCAGTGTACTCTGAATCGTAGTTTTTCTCCAGCTGCCTACGTTTCGGAGACCACTTTATGCGTACCAAAGAACTCTGTCTAGGACGAAATCGAACGGAAATGGCGAAAGAGGACACCTTTGACGAACGCCGTAGCTGGTGACCAACAGCTTACTTAGTTTGTTTTAAACCCTCACTTGCCCTGAGTTATGTGAGTACAGTGACCTCAGTACGCCCTCCTGGAATATTCCTTTTCGAAGAAGCGAACCCATTAGGGCTTCGCAGTCAACTGAGGATCCCTTCGGCTCAAGGAACATTGCCATCGTTGGTCGATGGTAAGAGTAACGCCGTTCAAAGACCTGACGGAAAGTAAAAATTTGATCGATACATCCACCGCCAGGCCGGAATCCGGCTTGCTGTACACGGATGCTGGTCTCCGTTGAAGAAGTAAGACGTCGAAGTATGACGGAAGCTAACACCTTGGTGACGATTGGGATCAAACTGATCCCTCGATGCTTTTCACAACCGTTGTGAGATCTTTTCTTGAAAATGGGAATGACCAGTGATTCGCCTCAAGATAAAGGAACGCGCCCTTGTGTCTAAGTGTCGTGCAGTAAGCTAGTAATAGAGCTTACGATATTCTCACTCTCCGTCTGGAAAAGAGTAGCAGGGACGTCGTTAGGTTATGCTGTTTTTTTCTCATTCCAGAGCTTGAATGCAAAGCTGAAATATTGCTTCTATCCCTGGATCGCACGACACTGTCCACGGAGATCCGGTTGCAGCTGAGGTTATCTTATTTTACTGCGGCTGACTCCTTGGAAAGGATAAGCTGGCTACAGACATGATCATGATCAGGAAGTTTCTTGGAAGTATGTATGTAAGTATGTAAGTCCATTTACATCCATCAGAAAGTGGTATCGCGCTGGTAATTAACGTACCTTCCGTAACATTAGATCGATGTCACGAGTAGAAAGCCAGTCATCATAGTGTTTGCTGTTTCGTTGAACCCGAAGCGGACTTTTTTCGAAGTATTTCCTGCAAAATAAAACAACAAGAAAAATATAATGGCCAGGCTATGGGAAACAAGCTCTGAAGAGGTCCGTGAAGGAAGGGTATCTGAGGAATACGAAGCTAAGTGGTAACCACAATGACTTTCCCAATCAGTTTCAGTTCAGTTTGAACAACCATTAACCATGAACTATCGTGCGCCGGTTATGGTTGCTGTCATTTGGCTACCCATTTGGATGAAGAATAGGAGAACAGAAAATTTGAAGGTAGAGTCGAATAGAAACGTGAGAACTCCAGTAAACTATGGCTGCAAATAAATTAAGGTGCAAGAACGCCATTGTTTACGAAGCAGCCATATCATTCAGTGTCTCCAACCATCGGGTACGATCTTCTCGAGGTCCCCAATCAGGGAGCCTAACGGGAACTATGTGACCTAGTCCCCTGGTCAGGGTTTCCATACCCTCGTGCTAGGTCTTAGCTTGGCCACCCTTGACTTTCTTCCACCCATTACTTGCCTCGGTGAACATCGTTCGCCGTGGCAACCTATTTGGTGACATGCGTAACACATGCCCCAAACAACGTAATCTATGGAGGTTGACCACTTGCTCCAGTGGGCGATCGCGGATACCCAAAACTATGACCCTAACCTCAGCACTGATCGTTCGGCTGCCCCACCAGATTCGCGCAATGCTGCGTAGACACCGGTGTACAAACACCGACATTCTATCTTCGTCCTGTTTTCTTAATGGCCGAGTTTCTGTGCCGTATAGCAGAACTGGCCGAACTGCTGCAGTATACACTCGACTCTTCACAGACAGCCGGATGTCGCGACGGCGCCACAGATGTCTCAAGTTGGCAAATGCCAACCTAGCCATCTGGACGCGCGCCGACACTTCGACCGTGATGCGTCCACCAGGTGAGATGCTGATGCCCAAAAAACAAAACTTATCCACTTGCTCTATTACTTCCGCAGTCAGGGTGAGTTTGGGGGCTGGACCAAACCAATCTCGTGGTAACATTTTACACTTTGAAGGTGTAAAACGCACACTGAATATGGCTACACCGGCAATAAAGCTCTCCAGAAAAGCTTGCAACTTGCCTGCATCTTCACTTAGCAGCACGATGACGTCTACATACTCTAGATCAGACAGACTGCCACCTGGGAGTAAATCGATGCCACTAACCTCGCACGAGGTTAGGGCTGTTTCGATAATCAGATCTATAACAAAGTTGAATAGAAAGAAAGAGAAAGGGCAACCTTGACGAACACCATTTTTTGTGGTGAATTCGGGTGAAAAAGTACCGGACTCGACTTCGGCTATTAGTATGAAGTGATCGTAATAGTGAAATTAACTTCTCGGGCACACCCTTCAGGAAAAGGCAGTGCCAGAGTTTAGAGCGGTCGAGTGAGTCGAAAGCCGCTTTCAAATCGAGAGATACAGAGATGGTGGGTCTACGAAAGGAATGTCGATGCTCCAGAATTTGACGGAGTGAAGATGTGGTAAATACAACCTCGACCAGGTCTAAAACCAGCCTGGTTCTCACGCGTGCACCCTTCACGTGCGGCAAACAATCGACGGAGTATGACACCGGCGAGAAATTTAGAGGTAATGTTGATTAAACTAATTCCTCTATGGTTTTCACAGGAGGACCTGTCGCCTTGCCCAATAACTTGAAAAATCTCACCTGAATGGAAGAAACCTTTCTCCTCCGTTTTGCACGCCATTATATAATAGGACACTGATGAGCAGTGTTGGTCCACAGGCTAGGGTCATAATCAGATCGATTAGGAGAGACTGTGGTCGTTCAGAGCCTAATTTTCTATGCATTTCTAGGGAGCGCTCGATCGAAGGCCGCTTCCACCCTCTTGAAAACTGATCAGGAAGGAACCCAAAAGGGATTAACCAACACAAGAAGCGAAAAGTTTGAGGAGCAGATGGCACAAGGCCCCTTGAAGAGATGATGTACAACTAAAATCTTCCATCCATCCTAATAGATGAGAAAAAATCAATGCGAATCTCATTTGCAGCTCAGGGAGTGGATTTGTGACGAATAACTCTCGAAAAACCATTACGATGATTCTGTATCAGGTGTTGTGAGTTAGGTGCGTCTAACCAACTTGACGACAGAGCCGAATTTCAGTGGTTTTACAAAGAGTAATACATGAATGACTAAACGAAATTTCCCAGAATCACACGACCGGTTTCGCGGTCCTTGCCGCGCAACTAGTCTAGATTTGCATTGAGTTTGTTTTATCCATCAGGATGGATGGAAGATTTCAGCTGTAAGTCATCTCTTCAAGGGGCCTTGTGCCATCTGCCCCTCGAAGTTTTCGTTCATGTGCTCATGTGGGTGAAATTCTCTCTGAGCTTTTGTGAAATACTGCAACGTCATCCGAGTAGATTCGATCCGATGAAACTGATCAACCCTAATGTAGTTACCACCTACCAAAACACGTTAGCTAGTGACCTAGACAATCCATCACCCTCAAACTTTGATAGTCTGTGGGCTCATTTCGAGAAGTCATGTATAAATCTGCCACCACAGCCTGCGGCTTCACCAAGCGCACCATCAGCCATGGGGTTTCGGCACATTGCCACGGACTGCTTGACGCTCATCGAAACATCCTTCCAGGTAATGAATGCCACATAGTCCGTGGGAATTTCGGAGCTGAGTCGAAGCGGTTCCTCAGAGAACAGAAAGACCTGGTGAGAACAACGCGCTTCAGAGACGGAACTAGCCGCTGCTTCCGGTAATGCTCACTAGCTTTTCTGATTGATCCGAACCACATTCAACGAAAGTCATGCGTGAGTGAGACTATAAGAGAAAAATGGTGCGCGTATCTATACTCTAAGACATCGGCTTGGACGCTGGCGGGAACAATCCCATTGGCCATCAACGTCATTACCTCCACCTCCTGACATACGCAGTGCTCCATCGTTTGTGGACACTCCACCACCTACCGTGAAATAAGTCTTGCGAGAGCTCAGACTTCTGAAACGCCACAAATCGCCCGGCCCAGATGCGCTCCCTCCGGACCTTGTCAAATACCGTGGTGTAAGCCTTGTCCGAGAGTTGACCTTATTCCAAATTATCTTAAATACTGAGTTTGGCGGAAACAATACTTGTTTCAAGAAGGGCCTCTTTCTGCATTTGCCTCAATGATAGAGGAAGTATTCTTATTTCAGTTGCATCCAAAGTTATGACGTCGTTGAGCCTTTACATTTAGTGACATAACAGAATGTCACATGCGTGAAGTACAAGCTGGATTTTACTGCGGACGGAGCTGTATGGACCACACAGTCACTCTACTTCGGATTCTCGAGCAACTCCAAACGTTCAGTACATCATTGCTATCTTGTTAGACACGTGCTGTGTTTGGCTCAAGAGATAGAGCTGCTCTTTGGACTTGCCTGTTGTGAATTGATGTCTGTGATGTACATAAACCTTGACAAATCTTGACACTCAACAACAATAGGCCATGTCAAGGTCTGTGACCATCATCATCATCGTACAGCGAGATACAGTGAAGCGAGCTTCAATGATCGCTGTCAAGCTCACAATGTACACAAATCAAGTGATAAAGCACAAGATGGAGAGGGATTGGGCCTACTTGGAGGGAGGCAGAGAAAAAGAACCTCTATTTTCAACACACAGAGCACACAATCTAAGTGTTCATTCATATCTTTTCAAGCATTCTGACTTAGTGAGAAATGACAAGAACGCCACTGCCGTCGGTTAGTCGCCATAACCTTCAATGTCTCCAGCCAGCCAGTTGCAGAGTCTTCTGGACCCCAACCTGGAAGACGGGAGACACCGATTCTACCTAATCGCTCTGAGTATTTCTTCATACCTCGCCTCCACGTCATCTGTTGACTTCCACGCGGTTTCTTCCAACCTGGAGCCGCAACTGCGAGTAAGGCGCGGTGCCGCAGACGATGGCTGGACATGCGCAATACTTGCCCCAACCGGCGAAGCCGACTCATCTGAATTCGATGGGACAACCAATTCTCCATCGAATTATTACCAAATACGCGACGCCTCACCTCAGAGTTGCTTACAAGCTCGCCCCATCCAACCCGCGTCAAACTACGTAAACATCTGTAA